TGTTGTCATGAAGTGGGTAAGTGGTGCTGCAGAGAGCTCCCCGATGGCCTGTATATAGGGTTTTTTTTTCTGTTGTTGTTGCATTTAAAATATGAAACACATGAAAGATTATGTAAAAATACCCTGGGAATCTAGAAGGCTCTTCCAGGACTGGAAATGATAGGAGGGGGTAGTACCTCATGGTTTTCTTTCTCTTAGAGATCTCAGCTCATTTTAAATTCATTTCTCATTTTTGCTTTCCTCTTACAACAAATGCAAAAGGAGAAATGATCAGGGAAAATGTCATTTGCCTAAGTGGCAATGGGTCACGTGAAGTGTTGAATGCCCAGCTGTTGAAGTTCTGCTAGTGCCAAGCTTTCTGTAGGGGTCTTTCAGCCCAGCTCTGGGCTGTGTTCCTTTCAGGAATGTGTAATCCAGATGAAGCTGGGAAAAAATGGCACACAATACAAAATAATAAGACCTTTATCTCTTGGAGTAGTTTTTTGTCTGTTTAGGATTTGTCCCCTTGTTATTGGTGGACTATGGACTTACAGTGTTTCCCAGGCTTTTATTATCCCATTGAATGAATTGATCAGGACAATTGCTAAATGTAAAAGATTACTGTTTCTTTTAGGACAGGAATAAGCAAAGGAATAGAGGAACAAAAGAGGTGCTCAAGAAGAAAAGAGTTTGGAAGGAAAAAACATACTTCTTGCAAGCAGAATGGACCACTGCAAGAACAAGAAGTGCAGGCTGGTGAGAGGGCTCAGTGGTCTAAAGCATCTACTTAGAACAAGCTTAGCAAAGCACAGGGACCGCGGTTCAATCCCCCAGCACCACATGCCAGCCAGCCCCGGCACCTGGTGGGCTGAGCTGGTCACACACATACACACACAAATAAATAAATAAAATTAAAAAAAAAAAAAAAGAACAAGAAGGGCGATTGCTGCGAAGTCAGTCAATTATTGCTGTCTTTTGACAGTCGGTCCCCCTGAACCCACTGATGTGTGAAAAGATCGGCATCAGGGGTTGAATTTGGCTTCTCTCATGTCAGAAGATGTGTACCAGGTGCAGGGCACAGCGTGATCTCATGTCAGGCTTGGGAGCTTCTGTGTGCATAGTTAACAAGTCTCTTCACCTGTAGGCCGCACCCTAGTATCCTACTTCACCCTGCATTAAATACTGTCATCTTAAGAGTTCTCTTGTTCCACAGCCTCCTTCGAATCTGTTTTCACCTCCCAAGAAATACTCCTTTCTGTGTTAACACTCAGCCTTATATATAGTAACAGCTGTTTTAGGGGGTATTTTTTAAAAATAATAATCGGTGTATGATCTCCATGGCTAGGTAGCTATTATTATTGCATGCAAACAGAGTCTAAGAGAAGCTAAGCTTGATATAAACATACAGGAAATAAGTTAGAGAATGTTAGAATTGATCCTTAGTCTGCCTTTCCATTTTGGGCTTTTAAATGTTTTAAAATTTATTTATTTTTGGTATTTAGTACAGGGTCTACAGGGCCTCACTACATAGATCTGACTCGTGATTCTCCTGTTTTCAGGCTCCCAAGTGCTGAGATTACAGGGGTGTGCCACCATGCCCAGTCTCAATCACCATTTCAGCTTGCCCTGGTGGTGGGACTGGCATGGCATGCTGGGGATGAAACCTTAAGCAGGCGCTTTAGTCCACTGAGTTATCTGGCTGGCCCTTCCATTCTGGGCTTTAAATTTTTTTTTTTTTTGAGAAAGGGTCTTTCACTGTAATTTGGGCTGGCTTTGATCTTTCTATGTAGCCTTGGTTGGTGGCAAACTCACACTAATCCTCCTACCTCAGTCTGCAGAATGCTGGAACTGTAGGCATGTGCCACCACACCCAGTAACTTTTCTCTCTCAGGGTGTTCCAGAATCCCTCCTGCAAATATAGCCATTACAACCCCCCCCTTTTTTTTGAGGAAGAATATGATCCTTTTCCTTTTTCTTAACTTTTTAAAACTAGATTTTTTATTGTGTGTATTGAAGCCATACATGCCGTGAGATGTATATGGATAATAAACAGGTTACTTACTATAGCACAACAAATTAATGCCCAGCATCTCACAGCCATCGATTGTGTTTGTGGTAAGAGCAGCTAAATTCTATTCTTCAGCACAAATCCTGTATGTAGCACAAATTAATTGGTCGTTCACCTTCTAACACTTTGTAAAAACCGATTCCCACTCTCCTTTCTAGAAACTAGCGGCCCAATTCTCCCTCCAGTTTTATGTCCCTTTACTCCCAGAACAAACACTTTAAAGAGGCATTTTGGAATCTCAGATTGAGCAGGGAAGAGCAGCCCAACAACTGTAAGAAGAGGTGGTGGTGAGTGGGAGTCAAACCCTCCAGACTTCAGCTGAAGTCTGAAAACTTTCTTCACTTTCACTCCATCTTTTGTCCCACTCAAAAGGCTCAGAAAGAGTCCTGGGTTGGAACTTTCATGACGCTGATTCTAGTCTCAGGTGAAAACCTGCTAGACCAGGCATAAGAGGGCACATCTGTATTCTCAGCATTTGGAAAGCTGAGGCAGGAGGATTGCCTTCAGTTCGAAGCCAGCCTGAGCCACATAATGAGTTCAAGAAGGCCAGTCTGGACTACATAGTGAGACAGCCTCAAACACAGACAGCCCCCTGATGACTACTAGCCTCAGTTTCTTCAAGTAGGAGTACCACAGGCTTTGTCCACTTCCTTAATACACAAGCCAGACTGTTCTTTAGTACCCTTCTACCTATTGCCTACTCAGATGAAGGTGGGCTTTGGACATGATAGCCTTGTAACAAGGCCAGTGTTTATTGAGGATCTATCCAGTAGACCAACAAAGAACCAGGAACTTCCAATTCCTTTAGCAACTTGGAGTTTTGGGAACATCCATCCTCTCAGGAAAGCTGGGAGAGGTATACTGTTCTTTGGGATATTATTTTCCTTGTCACAGTGTAATTATATAATCCACTTGTTTCTCACTAGACTATGAGTGTGTGCGGGTGTGTGCAGGGTCTCACTCCGCAGCTTGGACTTGTAGTGATTCTCCTGTTTTCAGCCTTTCTAGTGCTGGGATTACAGGGGTGCACCACCATGCCCAGACTCCATCGCTGGCTCAGTGCACCTTGGGGGCGGTGGGGCCAGCGCAGCATGTGGTGCCAGGGATTGAACCCTGGCCCCTTCGCTTGTCTAAGCAAGTGCTTAGTCCACTGATCTATCTTGCCAGGCCTAGACTATGAGTTCTTAAAGTATACAACCAATATCTTATTTATCCTATTCAATATGCTACCATTCTCGCCCAAGCCATCCCCTTGTACCTGGATAATGAAGCCCCTGCCTTCTACCATTGTCCCACTACTATCTGCTCTTAGCAAAGCAAGCCAGAGAGGTTTTGTTCTAGTCAAGATCCTTACAGTGACCTATAAGACTCCTCTTTCTGCCCTGATCTTCCAATCTTATTTTATAACAGTACTGACCTCTTCACTATTTCTAACATTTTCAGGAATGCTTTTGCCGTATCTCCATGATTTCTTTCCTCAATTCCTTCAAGTCTGGTTAAAGTTGTATTATAAATGGGGCTCACACTGATAGTTCTATTTTTTTTTTAATTTTATTTATTTATGTGTGTGTGTGTGTGTGGCCAGCTCAGCCCACCAGGGGGCGGGGCTGGCTGGCATGTGGTGCTGGGGGATTGAACCGCGGTCCCTGTGCTTTGCTAAGCTTGTTCTAAGTAGGTGCTTTAGACCACTGAGCCATCTCACCAGCCCCTGATAGTTCTATTTAATATTTCAATGTTTCTTCTTCCAGTGTTCTTCATAATCCTTACCCTATTTTTTCCTAGAGCACTCAACATATAACATACTTCACAATTTTCTTTGTCCCCATACTAGAACGAAAGAGTCAACAGGCAGAGTATTTTTGCCTCTCTTCTGCTCACTGATGACGCATCTTGAGCAAGGAGTATATGTTGACGTCATATCCCCAGGACGCAGGGCATGGAGCTGCATGGCAAAGGGCAGGCATTTAATATTTGCTGAAGGAATGGAGTGCTCAGATCTTGAAATACTGGAGGTCTTTACTTGAACCCCTTGAGGAGAAAAAAATGTTTCCAAGGCCAAATCAACCCAGCATTCATTCATCTAAAGAATGCTCCAGTATCCAGATATTGAACATCTACTGAGTTCAAGTGTTCTTAGTGCTGATGGAGAATATGCTAATGAAGCAACAGCAAATAATGTATCTTAATGTAATTATGTGTGAAATTACAGGGAAGATCATCAGTGCTAAGAGTTTAGAGAAGCAGTGAAGACTGACGTAGAAGTAAATTCCAAAGTCCAACAGGTATCTGAACTGCCTTTCTTAATGCTTCACCTGTTGATAGCAGGACCATAACCTGGACGGTGAACCCAAGAGTCAGAAGAACCTTTAGAGTTCCAAGTCTTTTGTTTAAAGAAGAGGGAAAGTATGAGTACGCAAAAGAAAGGACACTACAGAGGTGGGCCTAGAACGGCGGGCTGTGAGGTTTTGAAAGGCAGTGTCCTGAGGGAAGGTCCGTTTCTGCCTTTGTGGGGCCTCCTCCGCGTGTCAAGTAGGAAAGGGGCCTGGTTTCCCGGAGAAACTAAGGTGCCTGCCACGACAGTGAGGTGGCAGAGGTAGGAGGGCGGAGGGCGATCACGAGGAGACATTCCTGCGCTGCAGGGGCCTAAGGGTCCAAGGCCGCCGGTCCTTGCTTTCATCAACTGCCGGGCAACTTTTGCCATCCTCACTCTCCAGGTGTCACTCGGAGGCACGGGGGCCCCAAGTCCCTAGTCACTGCGCGCCGCATTTGTTAACACCGGCTACACGGAGGACAAGCCGCAGAAGTACCAAGGCACTATTTGTCCCAGCGGAGGAATCCAGGGTAACTCGCAATAGCGCGGAAGAGCCTGACGCCGCCGACGCCGGTACGGTGGCGCAGAGACGTCGCGGGAGGCGAGGGAGGCGGGGGCGTGGGGGGGCGTGGGTCGGTAAGTAGTTCCGGGTGCGCGGCCCCGGATGTTGGCTGCTCCCGCTGCTGCCGCCGCTCTCGGCGCTGCTTCGGGCCTTGGCGGCTCGCAACAGGCGCGGTTGGGACCCTTCGCAGGGGGCGGAGTCGCACGCAGCGGCCGGGGGCTCGGCTGGGCCGTCCCGGCCTGCGCAGCCTGAGGTGAGTGCGTGCCGCCCGCGCGGCGGGGCCGGGGCAGCGGGCGAGCGAGGAGGCGGGGCTGGGGCATCTCCCGGACCGAGGCTGGGGCTGCCCTCCGCGAGACGCCCTCTGCCTTCTCAGCCGCCGCGCGGGGAGCGGCTTGGTGGGGCGGGGGCTCGGGCCTGGGCCGGGCCTGGCGGGCCGGGAGCCTTGGGTACCTCCCTCCCCCGCAGCGCTGCTCAGCTGCTGCTGCCCCTCAGCTGGGGAGCTGTGGCTCCGCGCCTCCCGCCCCTCCCCCAGGTGGGGCCCGGGGGAACCGGACGTAGATCCTTGGGGCGCCGAGTCCGAGGGCAGCGGTATCTCCGCCCCGGGACTCGCGCCCGCCTGAGGGTTACCCCTAACCCCGGCGCTAGAGAGTTCTTCCCTTCAAGCTTGGGGACGCTTTTTGGTCAGGAAGGCCGCTAGTACGTTGCGCCTTTGGGTGTCCTTCCGACGAGAAGGCCCTCGAGAGGGGCCTACGTTCCCGCCCATTCTGTCCCTGTGTCCTTTGCTGGCATTAGGGCAAAGGCAGCCGTTCCATGCGGACGTGTTAGTAGTGCCCTGTGTGTGTGTGTTGTATCCTGCCCACGTGGTGGGGGTTCCGTCCCCCCACCCTCTCCGTTTTCGCAGCTGATTGAGAGGGAGGTTAACGGGATGGTTTTTCTTCTGTGATTTCCTACGGGTGGCGTGGAAGGTGTTAAGGTCAGTTTGCTTTGCAGAGCCCCACGGTTGGTTAGATGGAAGAACCAAGAGTTGTGTACTCTCTGAAATTGAGATCAGTAGGGGACACATCAGAGCTTAGTTTCATTGACCTTTTTTCCTCATGGCTCCCATTAGCTCTTTCTATTTAACCTAAAAAGAGTAAGCTCTTGTTACAGATCCTTTGATGTGTATTTTTTTATTTCTCTACTTTTAGTGTGTATGGTTGGCAGAGGTTTTCCATTTTGGTTACTGCACTAGTTTGTGCTGTTCCTAGAATTCCTGAATGAGTAGAGCCAGGGATTGTATCTCTTGTGTCTTTTTTTCTCCTAACAATTCCTTGTCTTTATTTTTTTTTTCCTTCTACTCTATTTTGTTCTCTCGTGAAGAAGCATGCTTGTCATATAGGTGTACTTAGTTACCTCTCTTGTTGAAGCCCTTTTATTTCACTTTTCTGAGTACTTTGGACTCTAAATACCACATATTTTGTATAGTTTTTGTCTTTTCTTTCCTTACTGTCCTTTCCATGTTAAGATTTCCACTGTCTGGTGTTCCGCTTTTTGACACCCCAGATTGCTCTCTTTACGGGGAAGAGACTGCTCTAGCACTGAGAGAAACCTTTCATTCCTTCTAGACCTTAACACATACTTAGAGAAAATTAGTAAATCTTCTAGGTTTTTCATATAGATGTGGTTGAATTTTTTAGTTTTTTTAGATAAATCTGAAAAGTTGTTTCTTATTTTTGGTTTTGTGTTGGAGTTGCTGAGAATCTTATTCTTGGCTTTGTGCTGCTTAGGATACTAGAGAGTTTCTCATTCCATTTTGAGATATTTTTTGGATGAAACCAGAACATAATTATTTTGGCTTTTTTAGTTAATTAGTTTGGGTGAAATAAATTTTACTCTTTCCAAGTTACTCTGTCTAATTGGTTAGCATTCTGTTGTATTTCATATTGTGTAGTCTTTTTGAGGATGAATTAAAATGTTTGTGTGTGTATGTGTTACTGGGAATTGAATTCAGGACCTTCACATTGAATTACATCTCAAACCTTTTAGAAAATTTTTTTAATTTTGAAGTAGAGTTTTGGAAAGTTGCCCAGGCTGGGTTAGAGCTTTGGATCATCCTGCCTCAGCCTCTGAATTCTGGGATTACAGGTGTGTACCACTGTGCCAGCCTTGAATATATTTTTAGTAATTGTTTTATTTCCTCTTATAGGATGTAATTGCTAGTATAGTCTCCCTTTTTCTTCTACATAGAATAAAAATACTAGCTAGGTGTGGTGGCACACACCTGTAATCCCAGCACCTTGGAGGCTGAGGCAGGAATTTGAGACCAACCAGGGCTACAAAGTGAGTTTAAGGCCAGCCTGAATTGCATAGTGAGACTCTTGTCTTAAAAAAGATAAAACAAAGCAAAAAACAAAAAAAGAATAAAAGTATGTAAGTAGTTTCTGTCTGCTTTCACTATGCTAAGTATGGGTGGGGCAGTGAAAAGTAGTGAATATCTTTTAATACGGTCTGAAATACATATTTTTAGTGTCAGTCAACATTTGTGTACTGTGCTTCTGCAAAGTATGGGGCTGCCTATTTGTCAAGTAGTCTTACAAAAAAAAAACCATGGAGGGCTAAAATACAGGTCTCAGAAACTCCAGCCTTTGTTGAAAGAAAAATCGTAGTTTTTTTTTGTTGGAGAAGCAGCATGTACGTCAAAATCACCAGACAACCAGATGTGGTACAGGCTTGTATCCCAGAACTTGGGAGGCTGAGGCAAGAGGATTGCTGTGAATTCAAGGCCAGCTTCCACTACAGAGGAGGACCCTGTCTCAAAAAACCAGAACCAAACAGACAACCTGCAAAATCACCAGCATCCAACTCCTGCTTGGGGTAATAATGCAACTAAGTTCACAGGTATATGTGACGGTGAGAAAAATTTGCAAAGTGGGAGAAGAGTGTTAAGGAAATTGAAGGAACGTGCAAAGACAGAGAAATATCTTGATTGTCAGAGAGAATCTGTATTGATGAATAAATGAATTTGGGATTGGTAAGGGTGTTAGTGCAGGCTTTTTCAAGGACAGAGAGGTTAGTTTGATGGGGTACTCTCATTCTCCAAAGAAAGTGGGAATAAGATGGCCTGACGTAAGATTCTGGTTGAGAATAAAACAATAGCTAACATTGAATACTTAATGTATACCAGACATTTTTCTGAACTGTGTATTATCTTACTGAAGCATCAGAAGGTCATTTAATCATAAGGACTTCAGGCAAATTATTAAAACCTTTTATATTTAGTCATATAAGTAGAGAAATGTAGATTTTGCAGTGACTGGACTATAGATGGTAGTAAAAGGTGAATAGATATGTATTGGGAGGGAAGCAGTATAGTAGAGAAAGCTTCGAGGTTTGGAATTTTGAGTCACATAATAGACTTAACAGGTAAAACATTTTGAGAAGAATCAGAAAGTACATCCATGGCACAGAAACCAAAGATAAGATTTTCCCATAAAGGTTGTTGATAGCACCAAATTCAGTCTTCCAGTTTAGAAACAATGACCGTTGAGCTAGACCAGGAGGATGTGATTTGTAAGCATAGATTTTTGAAAGGAAAGATACATGTAGGATTTCTAGAAATGTAATGATCTTGTGTGGTAATTTTTATTTTCTCCTAATGCCTTCCTCAGTCTCAGTTTTGTTCACATGTCAGAGCTCACCATTGTTTCTTTTTAAAAACATGTTTTAGAGACAGTTACAGTTTAGCAGTTCTCTTTTTTATTTTTATTTTTTTTATTTTTAGCAGTTCTCTTTGTAAACGTAATCTTTCAAAGAAAGCTTTATGTAGTGAGATAAAACTCACATTCCATAGAATCTACTCACTTAAAATATACAAAATATACAATTCAAGAGTTTTTAATGTATTTACAGAGGAGGATAACCATAACCACAGTGTGAGTTTTAGAATATCATTTCAAAAAGAAACTTGGCTGAACGTTGTGGCACATGCCTATAATCCCAGCACTCTAGGAGGCTGAGGCAGGGTGATAGCAAGAATAAACCCAGCCTGGGCAACCTAACAATTTAATGAGGCCCTGTCTCAAAAGTATTGTCTTAGTGCAAGGGCCTGGGTTCTCAATTCCTAGTGTCATAAAAGAGGGAACTCTATGCATTAGCAGTCACCTCCTCCACTCCATACATGGGAGAGTCCGAGGCAAGTCATTAATGTACTTAACATTTCTGTGGTTTGCCTGTTCTGTACATTTTCTATAAAGGGAGTCATCATGCTGTTCTTATTTCATAGTCTTTTGTGTATGGCTTCTTTCACTTAGCATGTGTTTCAAGGATCTATCCGTGTTGTTTATATCAGTACTTCTTTTCATTGTCAGGTGATATTTTACTGCATTAATGTATTGCAGTTTTGACCATCAGTTGATGGACATTTAGGGTTATTTCTCCATCTTCGTCTGTTCTTCACATTACAGTCTTGTAGCTTTCCTTGTAGATTACAACCTCTGCTGTACATTTTGTTAGGCATTAGGGGGATAAAAGTGACTAAGATGTGGGCTCTGTTTATGTAGAGCTTTAATGGTTTGGGTATGTTTTCTTGTGTATTATCTCATTGTGTCTTACTGTAACTATAATGTAAGATAAAAGCAGTTTGAAGTTTGGGTTGGATGACTTGCACACTTGAGTCAGTGGAGCAGTGATTTCTTCTACTGTATGCTGCTGTTCTAATTTTTTTTTTTTTTTTTTTTTTTTTTTTGTGGAACCAGGGATTGAACTCAGGTCCTTTCGCTTGCCAGGCAAGTGCTTATTCCACTGAGCTATCTCCCTGGCCCCCTGCTGTTCTAATTTAGAGGATCCTCTTTAAAGTTTCTAGTGACTTAGAGGGATTGAGAAGTCACTGAATTTTAATGATTAGTCTTTAGTATTTAAAGACTGACAGATTTTGTTAACTTGCTGTATGTTTTAAACAAGTCACTTTATTTATTTTGACAAGTCGCTTTGTATTTCTTTTCTTTCAGAACTTTTATAGAAATTAAGATGGTGATGATGATGGTGGTAGTGATAAATAATAGCTTTTTTTTTTGAGGTCTTACTCTTGGCACAAAAATAATGTAAAAACTTTTGTTATATAATCTTTACAATCCCTGAGAGGTAGATTTTTATTAGCATCAAAGTGTTAGAGATGAGGAAATGGGCACAGAAGGATTAGGTCACTTGGCCAAAGGTACATGGCTAGGAATGGAAAGAAGCAGGATTTGAACCTTTGTAGTCTGTTTATGGAACTTA